AAAATCATGTCTCTTCTTTTTGTCATATTTGTAAATCAGCATTTAAATGCTGCATAGCATACTCTGTAGGAATTAATAAACACTCAAGTGAGTCTGATATTGGAAGTACCATAAATAACTTTTGTTTTGGACTAATTAAAAGAAGTTTTACAAAGAAAAACTGAAAAATGATTTTGTGAATTTTTTTTAGTTTTCCTTTGTATCTGGTATCTACATCAAGTAAAGACATGTAGAAGTACCAGGTACCAACCCATTTTAAAAACACTAACTAATGCATGAGATAATAGGCTGAATGCAAAGAGTAGCAAGAATGAAATGCAGAGTTTATAAACATACAAAGAATTACTAGACAAAACATTTTGCTTCAATTTTCTCACTTTTTAAATTATGATTTTTGAAAAAATATATATTATTGCTAAAAAAAACTATTAAACTATACTTTTAATACCATAACCATATCATGAATCTGGTTTATATGCAAGCCAATAACAATATCCAAAATTTAGGGTGGCTAGGATGATGTATTCTCTCACCAGTGGTCATAACAAAATGTAACTCCAATCTTGGTCACAAACATACAGCTGTATCACCAATTCAGTTACAACTTGGGTAGAAAGTCTAAATATCATGTCACACAGATTCTAATTTCTATGTATGAAGATGTAATTGCTTTATTGTTACAAATACATATATATGAAGATTGAAAAATAGATCAGCTTACACGAATATATTCAATTAAAAAATATATACATCAAATACAGGAAAAGGTTCAGGAGACTGTGAAAGGAATATCAGAAAACAAGTCACTGTCAAAGAACAGAGAAGTATTGCATCACACTAATGCAGAGAAATTTTACAATAGAACTAAAGATGACAGCTTTTAACAGCTACATATTTAAGATAATGACAGACCACTTATACAAAGATTATTTCAGGAAGCCTTTCATTGTAAAGCAAGCATTTGAAAATTGGTAAATGTCACAAGGCAGTAAAAACAGAATGGTGAAATTTCCATGCATACTTATTACTCATTTAATGATCTGAATAATATAAAATTTATTACTCCACAGTTTTTGCAAAATTTATTAGCAAGACAAAAATTCTATCACGATGTTTCATTTTTAACATGACTGATTTTTACTGGCCAGGCTGAAGTAGATCTGGCAAAAATTACTTAAATATTAAAGTTCTTATATCCCTAACCCTACTCTTAATTTATTTTATAGATATACAAATATCTACATCAGTTAGTAAATTATAAACACTAAGAAGATAATTAGCTTAAACAACAATACTTGAATGAAAAAATATTTCAAATAATAAAAGACAAATACAAGCAACTTGGTACTAACCTCTGGGTACATGTGAGGAATATGGATGGTTAAAATTATGGGCTACATGACCCACCAAAGTTTGAGGTGCACGTATTATTGATGCCATTGGTAAGCTTCCTCCTACAGCTTGAATATTGGTAGTGATACTGTGGCGACTGGTGGTTCCACCTACAGGAATTGCTTGCAAGCCAACCACTGCTGGGGATCCTTAAGAAATAAGTATTACTAACTCATGATATTCAACACATGTACTTGAAAGATAGTTTTAACTACACTATCATTAAGTATATTCTGAAAATATATTTTTCAATATTCTACTTACCTTATTTAATTGTAAAAATAATTATTCATTAGTGTTGAAGATACATTATGATATACAAACTACTATGACATTTTCCTGAATGTATTACAAAATAAGTAAATTTTATAACATAGCATGCCCAGAAGAAAGTTGTTTACACATGTTAATAATTTTTGTTAATATAATATCCTAACACCCTACATACATTAATTATCATAACGTTAGTTCAAACAATTCATACCTATTTCCAAGTTCTGCATGCAGAGAGTAATAATTAAGGTTATTACTTGCTTATCAAAAGTGTAAGTAGAAGTTAGTTTGTGCTGATTATTGAATCAAGTATATAAATACAACACAATGCAGTCAACCCAGCATATCAATCACATGTGGAAAAAGAAGAATCTTTTTAAAGAACTTCACTTTTGATAGTCAATTTCCATATTATAATGTTGATTCAAATTGTTTTTTCTGAAAATGACTAGAATGTGGAAGTTTCTTAAAACTATGTTAAGCTGGTAAAAAGTTTTAAATAAAAAAATAAAACTTTAAAGATTGTACAAACATCTGTGGCTTTAATGTGTAAAGTGTAAACATTCTTGGCCCTTGCTATTTAAGAAGTAAAGAAACATAAAACTTTTTTTATTTAACTTACAATTCAGTCAGACAAGCACATCAGGAATGCTCAAATTTGTAAACTAACACACACACACACACACACACTTTTGTGTAATACCATATATTCAAATTCATTTAAATGTTTAACTTTCTGAATGCTGATAATATACAGTATCAATAACAATTAAGCAATGTCTATAGTTCCAAATAACTTACACATCTAATAATTATCTAAAAATTTTGCTACATTTTAAACTAATTTCTTAAAAATAAACATGAAGCCTAAACTATCCTTCAATTCACCACTTGTCTCTGAGTTATACATGTTCCAGGGTATTCACCATTCATCAGCAGTCCTGAAAAAGGGCAAACTGAAGAAATATGTTATGCTTCTGTTAGTGGTAATACTCACCTACCCTATTTGATACCGTGCCAAAAAGCAGTTGTTAGGATAATGTGGTGAAAATAAAGTTAATATGACAAAATTTTGGGCAAAAATAAACCCTAAAATCCTCTCTGTATTTAGTTCGAGGTAAATATCTTTGAAAAAAGTCAAATAAATAAATAACTCCATTGGACTGTCAATAATACAATTCCCATTTTCCACAGTCCCAACTGACAGTTTACAAGAGTGCCTAGAAAAATCCAAGTATAAAGCATTTGAGTATTTCCATATAGCTAACGACTGCATTGTTTGTATTTTCAAATCATGAAAATTAGGTTGTAAGTAACATTCTGAGTATGTCAAATGAACATTGAATAAAAACTAAAATATGGGTCAACTTGCCTGGCATCAGGCACATTTAAAGCCCACCGTATGCAAATATATTGTAGCTATGAATAGATATAGCTAAAAAAATACTTTAGAACTACTAAAATAGGGGTGTGCTGGCCTAGAGTGATGGTGAATATATTATATGTATGGTGTTATATTTTACTCACTAAAGTGAACCTAAGTTTATATAGGAATTGAGGAATATGTAGCAAAAGAAGAAATTAGTAGAATCATTGCTACAAAATACTCAAAAACGTATATCAGTATAGGTTCACAGTGATGAATAAAAGACAGCTAAAACATCATACATATAATTTCTTTTTTTGGACCTTTTCCTTTTGAAATTGATCATATTAGAGTTGGACACTACATGCAAGAAAGCATTACTCCATTGCATTTGTCAGATGTATGATTAAGACCATATCCGCTTTGTCTCTGGAAAATCTTACAGTCACTCGTGTCCATTTTTACCAGTCGTGGATGCAATCCATAAATTTTGAATCTAGGGATGTGAGATCTGGCCAGTGATGTGTAAAGCTTTAAAAAGATTGAGAACTTGATACAATGGAATAAGAGAGTAAATGTTAATTTTAACTATAATTATTTACCAGCTTACCTACAGAAAACTAACATTTAAAAACAAAGAGTATTTACATACACATAAGCATTTATGGTGCTTAAATAAATATTTAAAACTCCTGAAAAGTCTGGTATAAAACTAAACATAAACCAGACAAATATTAAACGAATCCAAAACATATCCCTCCACGAGCATAGGAAAATTGGAGACTGGAAAAAAAAAAAGATTTAAAGTTTTTGATGATATGTACTCCAAGTCTGCAAAGCACTGATGTCATAAACCATAAAGTCACAAGTTCAAATAATCAAACTAATATATAATAGCCTGTATGTTTTTTCCATTAGTTATTTTTTCTTCACAATTTTTATGCAAAACAGAATAATTAAAAGGACAGAGAAAAGAAAAAATGTCTTAAGAAGATTAGTTTAAAGTGTTGGTGTACTTATATACAAGTAAAAGTAGCAACTGATGTCATATTTTGTCTGCATGAGGCAATTTTTGTATATTTTACGCTGTTAGGCTTTAACGAATCTAAAGAAGCTACTATGATAAACATGGTAAAAGAAGTTATAGCATGTCATTAAAGAGATTCACTTATAAGTATAACATGTTTAAAGAGAGAAAGTTTTACAAAAACATCAAGGAAGCCAGAAAAGTAATATCAGAATTCTGTAGTACTAATACAGAGCTTATCTGTTGATCACTACTTTTTTAAAACCAATAGTCTATTCATTGTACAGAGTATAGCACACTGTATGTAGAATCTTAAGTATCTGCTATTCCTGTTAAATGAATTGTAGGAATATTGCATATCACATGAACAGAGCATGAAGAGTAATGATGCAATCAGCATTAGACTATAGCCCTCCACAAACAGGAGGGCAATACATCCTCCATGTGCAGTGGACTCCATGAGCACCTTGAAAAGGCAAAAGAAACATACCAGAATTGGGTAGGAAGGGTGGGAAGTTCTATGGAGAGGTATGTATTTATCTGAAATACATTTTCAGGTAAGGAAAATGTTCACTTCAGATATGCTACTCACCTTTTCACAAAGCTGATAGCCAGAATCCCACATTGACAAAATGGTGGAGGGTCAGGTGTAGATAAATAAAGAAATAAAATAAGCTCCTTTCTGAAAACATATAGCATCAGAAATAGAAACTCATGTAGTGTGTCACCCATTAGGTGACCTAGTGGGAGACCACATCCATTTCATCTACATGTTCAATAGAGGTGCTAGAGTAAAAAGATACTGTCAAAAGAATTTCCTTTGTAGTGTTAAAGTGTTGCATAGGTAGCAGAAAGTAAAGACTGCTCATCTGGCCTGTACGTCTCCTGAGGTCAGCAGAGCATGCATGTGTAATATAGGTATGGCAATAAATCAAGCCCTAGAATGCTGGAGAAGTACTTAACAGTATAGGTAATTATAGAAAGGAATCATCCCAAATCTGCATCCTAAGGAGCACACAAGACACATCTGGCTGATGTAATTACTGGCAATGATCTGGTTCTTAGAATAGGGGGTGGCCTGTATTAAAATTCCAGGTAAATACCCCACCCTTACTTCCAATTGAGAGATACATCCACTTAGTCTCATACCAATGGTCAACTCTCTATATTGAGCTTCCCAGCACCTTGAGAATGGGAAAGTAAGGGCTCTCCCTATATTTTAAATATTAATAAAACACAAGGGAGGAAGTTGCATAGGGAGGATGGAGGAGAGATGATCAGACCAAACATAAATCACCATATCTGCATAAGGTCCTACACTGCTAAGCTGTGCAATGAGTTACCATGAATAGGACAGCAGGTGTTATCCAGATGCGAGGTCAAGATCACACCTGGTGTTGTCATTGTTTTTAAACAGAAGTGCAGCCTGGAAGGTAATATATGTATCAGGCAAGCGGTAGCACTGCTTATGTAGGGATGGCTTAGAATGTTAATCAAAATGGTATTTTAAATATCTCGTCAATAGGTCATCAGAACATTACAATACTATAGTGTTTCCTTTTATAACAATATCTATGTAATGACCGAGTCACAAGTTCTGGGAATTTCTGTAAATATCATAGCAAAAGGTTTGAATTTCTTGTTCTCTCTTCTGCTTCCTTTTTATTATTTGATATCTCAAAAACCAAAACAATGGTGTCAACCAATTTCACCGAGGTGACAGTTTCAAATGGAGTTTCTGTTTATATGAATAATATTAATAACTGGTAGTAATTAAAAATAATCATAGTTCTAGTGTAAACAAAGTTATCATTACCCCTTGAGGTTAGCTATTTTACAGAAATTTGGTGTTTGTTTAAAAAGAGTGAAACAGGAATTACCAGCCAATAATAAATAAACAATAAATATTACAGTTGGGACCTCACTGTATTTAGAACTTGATTATAAATACAATCTTCCTAGGTCTATTGAAACACTGCATTAAAAAAACAACAACAACCAAACAAGTAAAGAAAAACTTTTTAAAATAGGAAGTAAATGTAGGGATGGCTAATATCAATCCTTCAAAAACAATGCAAACAAGATAGTAGGGCTGGAATTTGCATCATCCCTATATAATAGCACAGGTAAGAATTAACATATAGAAATATATATAACTATTCAATTACAATTGAGTTAAACGTATCATATTTTTGTCTGTTAACATTCTACTACACTGTGCCTATGCTATTGTGTAGGGATGATGCAAATACTATCCCTACTATCTTGTTTGCATTGTATTTGAAGGATTGATATTAGCCATCTCTACATTTACTTCCTTTTTTGGAAAGTTTTCTTTATTGTGTCCTGTTGAAGTAGTCTTGCAAAAAAAAACCTTATCTAAACAGGGAAATCGGCTTCACACTATCTGATATCCCCTATCCGATGTGATGAGGTCCATTGTCTCCATTACATAGTTATATAGAAAAATCAGATGGTTGCGG